ATGGCGTCACCTTCTCTGCACGATGATTGTTTCAAGGCCAGTTCTCCCCTTGTCTATCGATGAGTTGTGGAGCGCGGGGTCGGGGGTTGGGTTCTCCGGACTCCGGACTCCGGTGCCTCGTGGCGGTGACTACACCCATGGGACTCGAAGAGCAACGTCTACCACAGGCTGGTGACGGTGATAGCGTTCTCTTTAAAGGTCCCAGTCAAACGGAGCAGATTGAGCGTCTTGGGTCTTTGGCGTATCGGGTAGTGTACATTACCACTGACGTAAGGGTAAGAGGAACACCAGAGAAAGTCGACTCGGAATAGAGCGAAAAAGATCACGCAAAGGACTTTATGCTCAACTCAAAGTTGTCGTCATGTGCTTCAGGGGCACTGAGTAGCATTGCATGGGAATGTCGCTTCTACGTCCCACCTGTTTGTTATACTGCCCTGGGAGCCTGGCTAGTAGCGACGTTAGACTGGAAGCACTAGAGATGCGGAATGCGCGCACGTCAGTGGCGCGTCATTCGGGAGTCAATGGTCGCGATGCACTTACGACGAAGTTGTATGGGTATGCGTGAATTCCTGGTTGGCATGTTTGAATAGCTGTTCGGTGCTCTACCGAGGAACATCCCGAGTACAGTATCAATAACTTGTCCGTCTCCACCTTTCGTTATATGCGCTAGATACCTCAACGTGAGATGCATTAATATACCTTTCAGTGTGACCGAAATCCGAAATGATGGTGATGCAAGCTCCGCGAAAGGTTTGAAAGGCTTATGTAACAGAAACTGATATGTCCTCTTTTCCGTAACGCGACCGCTCTCATTTTACCTGTGGCAACACTGGTCCCTCTGAACCCTTGCACGAGGAAGAGGAAGTAGTAGTAGATTGGTGTGAGGCCGTGTCGTTCGCATTGACATATTGATACACAACTTTATCGGTTATCAACCAGGTCTTCACGGAGTCCTCACGGGTAACACTGCTGGCAGCTGGTGTGTGTCCAATCACAATTAGCATAGATAGTGAAATAGATAAGCTGAGAACAGCGACCTGCCTGCCAGCGGTAGTGGTCCTACCTGTTCACTCCCGTTTTACCTACCATCGTAGCCATGACCTCTGCGTTCTTCTATGGCACGCTGGTGCATCCCAAGATCCTGAAGCGGGTATTGGGCAACGATGCGAGCCATCTGAAGATCTGCCCTTCCATCTTATCGGTTTGTCTCCATTCCAACCCTATCGTAGCAGGCGCACCCGACATGATACTAAGCGAGCGATCTTAGGACTACACGCGGCATAAAGTCAAGGTATGGCTAGTGCGTGGCGTGGGCCTCCACGCACGCTATCATCGAGTCTCTCGATAGTAGTCTCCACCTTTACAACTCCTTTACTCACGCAGATTCTCCACATCAGGACGCAGATTACCCAGCCATCCTGCCTTGCGAGCGGAGCAGGGAGCTTCTAGGGCGCGAGCTCACATCAGAGGAGAATAGCGTCCGTGGTACGCTGGTGTCGGGTCTAACGGTAGAAGACGTTGCCCTCCTCGATGTCTTTGAAGGCGTTGTGCGTATCTAACTTTTCGTTCTTATACCGCATTGTTATTATTCGTTCCCTGGACAGGAATACGTCCGCTTGCAGGTGTCCGTGCACCCTCTGGGGCCCTTCACGTCGGTTCCGGTGGACGCCGAGGCCCCCGGAACTTTAGAGGACAACCTAATCCCGTCTAATCTCCCACCACTCCCGGCTGCTAGCGAACTGGCGCAGACCGTCCCGGCTCAGACCTACGTGTGGTGTAGCTACGATAGCGAATTGGACAAGGAACTATGGTCTTTTGACGAGTTCGTTCGGAAGAACGCGTGGAAGTGGATAGATTGCGGAGAGGGTCCGCCGAGAAACGAGGATTATGAGGAAGTTGACAGGGTGAAGGAGAGGCTCCGCGGAGAGATCATCCCAGACGTCGTAACAGTCTAGACGGCTCTCTCGCTCGCGCGTGTCATTGCAAGTAGACAGACATATAGGGCTAGTACTACACACTCCTCATACAAACTACACGGTTTCGTTGGAAATAGAAGATATCCTAGAATTCGCCAAACTTGACGTGACCGGTCTCCGACGCATGCGCACGTGCCTCCTTCTCGCCTTTGAGCCCCTTCCCACATATCTAATAGCAACGGACGACACTCGTAAGGATAATGTATATTCGAGACGAGGAAAATTACGGTACCTCACACTTCAGATCGAACGTCGCGGTGTTCGTGTACGCCCGTTTCGCGCGCAGCTTCGTCGCGAGCGCACGCAGCGCATCGAGCACGCGCTCACCCTCGGCGCCGATCGAAGGCACGACGCTCACGCAAAAATCCGGCGGAGCGTCGGGCTGAGGGGCAAGCACGGCGGCATCGTAATGGATCCCGGAATATATGAGCAGCGCGCGACCCTCGCTCGCGCCGAGGGCGTCGCCAAAGCGATCGATGCGGCCTGTTTCGACGTCGATGCTGGCGATCTCGGTGCGGTAGTGAGCTGCGAGGATCGCGAGCTCTATGGCGCCGCCCCACGAGTTCGGCGAGAGGATGATGCGGATGTACTCGTCGCGTGGACGTCTGTCATGGTCGCGGCGAGCGGAGCATAGGAAAGTAAGATGGGCTAGGACGGCATGAAGGTCACGCGATGTGCTCTCACCCGAGGATGGCATCGGACCATGTCTCAGGGTCCTTCCGGATTGCTTCCGCTACGACTACGCGGGATTATGAGGGGACAGTGCGGATCGCTGGTGGAGACGCTACGACGTACTCTGCCGGATTACCGCCGCCTTCTGCATATTCTGCTCGAAAATCAGCGCGACAGAGGCAAACATACAGGAGTTGTCATCTGGCACGATCTGCAATAAAAGCGCCCTCAGAACATACTCCCTTCGTGTAGTTGTAACCGTGGCACGTACCCGATGGATGAGGTAACCACCATCTGTCTGTACAAAATCTGGACCACCGGTCTGTGCAGCAGAAAGTGTCGCAGCTGCGGGCCTTGGATTTGACGACGGAGGGAGAGAAGCAGGACGGTTGCCGACGGTGGCGTGCGGGTTGGCAAGCAACGCCGATGACGCAGTAGGTGTGGCGCCCGGAGGTGCTGCAGAGCCAGACTTTTGGTTAACAATTAATTGATCGCCAGGGGCCAGGCCAAGACTGGAGATTGGAAGCTCAGGTATGACGCCTGTGAGCGTGCGTGGCGGGTATCCTGCTTTGACTAGGACGGATGTGAGAAGGCAAAGTGAGTGGGACGGGTTTAAGCGCACGGTCTTGTGCAGATGGTGGTATTTCGGACACAGAGTATATGGCTTGGAGTAAATCCTGCACTGTGGCCGTGTCTAAGTCAAGTTGTAAAGTTGAAACGCCTTTTGGATGTCGCAGGCGAAGGGGGGCCATCTTTCGACGTCGTCGGGCTTAAGCTAGATTGTGCAATGAAAACAAAATAGGTGACAGCTTAAAGAGGAACTCTTCAATCGGCTTCTGCCTTTCCGTCGCCCTCCCCATCCTCATCTTCAGGCTCACCCACATCCTCCTCATCCTCCTCGTCTCCAGCCCCACCCCCAACAATAATTGCCAATTTTTCATCTTCGTCATCGTTATCCAGCCTCACGAAACGAAGTTGGGGTCCCCAGACGAACCAATACCCTATCGACCCAAGAACGGCGAGACCGATCCATTGCCACCGCATGCGTTCGAAGCTCTTTTCCTCTTCACTTTTTTGGGGACGCGGCTTACTCCACCAGGCACGGAAGCCCGGATACGGTATGAGAGCGCTCAGGCTATATCGCTCTGGTGGCAGTACGGGTGCAGACGGCGCAGCGATTTCGAGCACACGACGGGCGTGCAAGAGCAGTGTAGGATATGATGAACTGAAGAGCGACGACAGCAATGTGTCGGGGAGGGGTGCTTGAACTAGGAGCAGGATGTGCGCGGCAAGCACCAAATCCAACGTCGTCGGCCTGTGAGGACCTCATGAGGTTACGGAGCGCGAGTAAGTCTCTATCAGAACACACCTGTCGTAAAAGAAAAAGTTTTTGTCGCCTAGAAGTCTCGAGTAGATGCCTAATGCCGCGCGCGACTTTTCTAATATCTGTTTCCCTCAGATTGAATTAGGCTAGCCGTACTTGAGCAGTCACTGAGGCGACTCACCCGCTCGCGTTGAAATGCACTTTTAAATTTTTGCTTAGGATCCTCCTTTTTTGGCTCTTCCTTCGCGCCGAAGCGCTTCGGACCCTCTTCCTCTGGCTCATTCCCAGGGGTAGTCCATAGTCCATTGGCTTCAAGGCGAGCTTGGTGAACTTGGCGGATGCGGTGAGGCACGTAGTAAGACTGTGGAATTTTGTAGAAAGATGACAGTGTGGGGTGCGTGACCGCAGCGTAGTTTTCAGTGAGTGAGTAAAAGGCATAAGCCTGGGGAACGTCTTAGACTATGATGCAAGGCACTTTGGTTATGCAAAGGGACACACCACAAGATCGCCGAGAGCTGATTCGGCATGGGCGAACCACGCAGTACGCTGTGCGCGCTCCGAGGGGTCAAGCAACACGTCGACATCGGCAGAAAACGCGGGCTCAGACGCGTCTCCTTCGATGACGGGGGGAACAGACGTAGGCGACAGAGCTGCCACATACTTAATGATGGAAGAGAGGGGCGCGACGACATGATGTCCGTGAACGAGATATGGCAGCTGGCCTATGAGAGTTGCGTCAGCGCAGAGAAAGAGCGTCAGAGTTGACACTGACCTACCACTGGGGGACACGTCTGGGTTGGTGCATTCTCGGATTGAGAAGCGTCCCGGAAGCGCGAGCTGGAGGTAGAATGCAGCGGCGATACATGATGGTTCAATAGAGGGTAGACCCCACTTTGAGGGCCATATGTAGAGGGTCAGTGCTTCAGCTGAAAAGCTCATGTCAGTCGCGGCGTGTCGAGTTCGCAAGTTGGGGGTGTGACACCGACGTGATGCAGTATATATTGTAATAAAACTAGTTAAACTACCACGACACTATGGCCGAGTGGTTAAGGCGACAGATTCGAACTTCGTTTGAATATCTGTTTCCCTTTGGGAGCGCAGGTTCAAATCCTGCTGGTGTCGTCTTTTTTAAAACACTCTTTATTGAACGGCCCGTCCGGACGATACCCTCTGTTCTCAATTGCGACATTCTCGCGGTTCAATCTGTATGCGTACCCTCGTACGTCATGGTCGTGTACGCATAGTACGGTACATCGCAGCTGTGCCAACTACTGGTCGCAAGATGCTTGCACGATACGACGAAGACAGGACACTGGAATCATTCAAAAATACTCGCAATGGTCTTTCCATCGCCCCAATGAACTTCACTGCTATATTACATTACAAGTTTTACGCATTAAAATGCCAATGTTTGCATCACGGCATCTAAAACGTGAATAGCATCCGGTATGATGAACTTTTCGAACTGCAGCCCAACAGGCGTACTGCACGGGTTTTTTCGTCAGTGAGTTACAAGGGGATAGAATATGCATCACACTTACTCCCAAGCGGTTACACGCCGCACGGGGGCGAGCAACTTGAGGAATGCCTTCGACTGTACCTCCGCAGCGATCTCCGCGCCGACGCCAGCGGTGCGGCTTGCCTCGTGTACAATTACGAGCCGCCCAGTGCGCTGGACGCTCTCAACGACGGTCTCCACGTCCCAGGGGAGCACCGTGCGCAAATCGATGAGTTCTATCCGCGCGCCGCGCAACGCCTCCGGCACGAGGGGCGCGAGTGAGGCAGGCGGCTCAGCGAGAAGCGAGAGCGCTGTCTCGCAATGGTACAAGGGCGTGCCCCACGTGAGCAGAGTGAGGTCTGCACCAGGCACGAGGACCTCCGCGCGGCCGAGGGGGAGCTCAAAGTCGTCGATCGGAACTTGCTCGATCGCAGAGCGGTAGAGGATCTTGGGCTCCATGAAAATGACCGGGTTCGGGTCTCGTATCGAGGCTAGCAAGAGACCTTTCGCTTGGACGGGTGAACGGGGAACGACGATCTGTCTTGCAATTACGTAGGCCGTTTTGTCACAAGCGGGCATGGGCGTACCTTTAGCCCAGAAGCACCCATGAAAAAACCCTCGGGGCTCTGGGAATGGTACAGTCCTCCGTGGCCGACTGACATACTTGGCGTGCGCACTGTCAGGCGTCCGACATTGAATTGACCGCCACTGCGATATCTGAATTTGGCGGCTTCGTTTACCAGCTGCAAGCTACCGTCAGATCCGAAGTGCGAATACCTGGGTGGTAATGTCACGTACTTGGTCAAAGGCGGGGAATATATAATCAGAGAACTGGATCTCTGCGATAGCTGTTTGACCCATTGACGCGACACCAATGCCGAATCCAGCAATGCCTTGCTCCGATAGAGGCGTATTAAAGACACGCTCCCTGCCTGGAGACGGTGTCACATTTATGGTTAAGCTTTTAATTTTGATAGCCCACCAAATTCTTCTGCCAAACCCTGCCACCACGTGATTGGTTAGGAAGTGTATGTCACTGAAGGAAGCAGATACGTACCATGGTGCATCTAAACACACCACCAAATGCGACATCTTCGCCAAAGACGATGGCTGTATCATCTTTTGCAAGAGCAATCCTGATAAAGCTTGAGCGGCGGTCACGATATATTAGCAGAGATGGCGTACCCCATTGCATCCCGTACCGCCTGATAAAGGTTCATCTTGCGTGTCTCGCGACCGCCGATGGTGTTTTGCAATGGTGAGCTCCCATCTTCGTCCAGCCACTTGATACCAGGGGTGCGTAATGCAGCCTCGCGCGTGCTGCGAAGAATCTTGGAGGTGGCAACGGAAGGGAGGTGGCCACCGGCAGGCGGAGGTTCCGCTCCGGTCGAGTTCCAGCGTCGTGCGCTGAGCCTCGACCTCGACAACTGTTCGATTTCGACAGGTTTGGCAATGATAGGAACGAAGATAGCTTAAAATAAAAAATAAAAGGAGAAATGAAATTCAATCCACGCACAGTTGAAGGGCTTAGGCGTTTGACTGCGCGCACAGTCGAGACGATGGAAGGGGCGGTCATGCTAGTGGGGTAGTGTGGGTGGATAAGATCCGAGAGGCGGTCTTCGTTCCTCACTCGCGAGTACGGCGGGGGCCGTGACCAGTAATTGAGCGACGGTGACCGCGTCAAACCTTTACTGTAACCCGCTGTGACGGTCCCGCTCACAGCCGCCCAGCTGCCAAGCGTGTTTTCCGCTGATGATGGAGAACGAGCTCACGTTTGTCGCCCCCGAGGGCGTCTACTCCGTCACAGAAGACCACAAACCCATCCCCATCACCCACAATGTGCCGGCACCAATTTTCCCAACGCGTCTATCTACCATCACCGTGCGCTTCCCCGCACCGAAGCAACCTGCCACGCCAGGTCTCGGCCAGCTTCTGGGTGGTGGAAAGGACTTTTGGAAAGAGAAGGGCCTTACCCCGGGTCCTGCGAGGGAGGATGGTGTCAGTGTTTCGAGCGGCGAGACGCCCGAGGACGCTACCCCGCCCGATGTCGGGAGTCCACAAGATGCTGCTCCGCCAACATCGATAGGCAGTCAAGATCAGAATCACGGGTTGTTCAGCCCGCCCGCAGGCAGCAAGCGCAGGGCATTGTCACATCCAAAACATAATATGCGTACGACGTCATCAACATTCATTGCGCGAGTGCATGCTATGGAAGGTCTCGGCAAGACACTACAGTCTAAACAAGGCGAAGTAACGTATCTGTTCTACAACTGTTCAAAGAACCTCTATTGGGTCGAAGCTGGTGTCAAAGCCAAGGTATGTATGGTTCATTGGTCTCTATTATAGCGAACGAACCAAACCCCCGTTGTAGGAAGCCTTGGTTCGCGTTGCATTCGCCGTGCACCCGACGTGTCACGACGTGAACCATGCCACGGCCTCCCACGAACATCTAGACCTGATTATCGGTTTCCAAACTGGTGATCTCATATGGCTCGGTGGGTCTTTCTGTTCAACATCCTCCAACTGAGCACGAAACTCATGGCCATAGACCCATTCTCGTTACGATATGGGCGGTTGAACAAGCAGGTAAGACTATCGGGGGTGGGGGTGGGTTGCCAAGGCTCGATGAAATAGACACGTATCGCAGGGTCGCATATCAAGTTCACCTTGCACGGCCGTACGCTGGGTACCATCGTCTCCGAACCTCTTCCTCGTATCACACGCGGACGGAACAATCATTGTCTATGACAAGGACCGTGACGACGGCGTATTTACCGCACAGCCCCCAACTGCTTCCCCAGTATCGCCCCTGCGCCCACCAGCTAACGGTCCCATTCCTCCTTCCGTCGAGTCATCCTCGCCAGCCGGCGAGTGGAATCCATTAGACAGCATCTTTGTCACAATCCCCCCATGGCACCCTGTAAATGCGACAGGTGCCTCAGGAGGGGGCGGGAGAGGCGACAGGGACAAGGCCACCTAAAAATCCTGTGAGCCACTGGAAAGTGTCGAAGCGCAGCGTCGTTGGTGAGTACCTTATATAAAAATCAAGCTGAGAAATGAGTTCGATTTTTTGTAGACTTTGTTTTCTCACCCGACGTCAAGTACGTCGCGGCTATCTCCGAGGACGGCTGTCTACGGGTAATAGACGCCTTGGCAGAACAGTGTGTATTTTCCTATACCACTGTCGTATCTCGGTCGTTGATTGCAGATTCCTAGACTGGTAGATTGTTATGCCGCTTACTTTGGTTCTCTAACATGTGTAGCGTGGTCACCCGATGGCCGGTTCATCATTGTGAGTTCATGCAAGACTCCAGGAACTAATAGTTGGTCCCCTCGTCTGACCATTTGATCTTGGAAGACGGGTGGCCAAGATGACCTGGTAAATATATTCTCGCCATGGGAGCAACGCGTCATTGCGCGCTGTCAAGGACATTCTTCTTTTCTATCTGCATTGGCCTTTGATGACCTCCGATGTGACGGGAGGACGTACCGCTTCGGGAGCGTAGGGGAGGACAATAAACTCATCCTCGTCGGTTCCCTCCAATTGAAGTCAATTTTCCAGCGCTGACTTATCGCGACGCAGTGGGACTTCTCGAGTGGGATACTGCACCGTCCAAAGTTGCACTCACATCACCATCGCCTCTCCATGGCCTCGTCTCTCTCGCTTGGGGCACGCCGACGTGGCGACACGCTCACCGCTGACCACTCGACACTCCATCTCCCTCCCCCCGGTGCGGAGGGCCCGCTCCCGCGCTACCATCCTGCACCATCGCGCAACGAGGTCGCGATCGTGCAGCCGGTGCTGGTCAAGCAGCTCGAGAACGACATCCTAACAGCCGTCGGGTTCCTCCCGCGCTGGTTGCTAACCGGTACGAGAGTCGGGCACGTAAAGATGTGGATTCGCCCTTTGCCAGCGACGTCTCGGAAGAACGGACACGCGTCGCGCGCAGCTACGGACGCACAGGACCTTGATTGGGTCAGCTGAACTAAGCACCGAGGCGCGTTGTACAAGCCTTTCAAGTGGACAGTCGAGTGGAAAATCTAATGTATCAAATAATTTATCATCCACTGTAGGGGTAGCCACATCGGTACCTATGGTAGGCTTCTCATTAGAAGTCGAACTTCACCGGTTCACCAGTCGTCACCAGTCACTTACTATAAGTACGTGTTCCCGAGATGGGTTATTCCGGTAACCCCTATTGTGCATTGAACATGGATATTAATGAAGTACGAATGAAATGGGGAGTGGAAGCGTGCATGTACCAAATAGAAACAGGACCGCCAAGTGATTACTGGGGGGTGTGCTCAAAGTCTAGTAAGCTAACTACGGAAGGAGATCTCACGGGGCCTTTGCGCGCGGCGGAACAATACAGTACTAGTAAGTTAACCCAGCAAGGGATAAGATACTCCTTCGTGCTTGCTTCACACCAAGGATTGAAAGGAACGGTATTATGTGTACACTTACAGTATCACAACACATCCCACCTTGGATTAGTATAGGAGCACTATTACCCCTGGGCACAGCAACGGAAATTAGCGGTGCACAGGTGGACAAGCAATGCAGCACAGGCAGGAACAACTTGTGATTAATGTGATTAGCAAACAAGTGAAGACCCCCCTTGTG